TTTTTAGATTTCCTATTAACATTCCAATTCCTTTAATCAATTAATTACCGAGAAACAAGTCAATGGTTGGCCTATGTGAAATGGGACATAATTATCTTGTTTGATTCGTCAATATTATTGATGACAAAATGCAACCCTGCAGAAGTTATCCGTTGGTTGACAGTTTCCGCTTTCTTTGTCGTCGAAATTAGTTGATTTCCGTAAAAAGTGTGAAGTGCCTTTTTTTTACATAAATCTCGCTATATTTATAATTTTGTTCAAATTCTAATTGAGTGGAAAGAGTTTACTGATGAAATATATATGTAAATAATAACGTTTGCGAATACAAAGTGTTCTTGTAGTGTTTATAGTGTGCGTGAAAAATCTAGCGGAAAATACTATTTTCCCACCAGTAAAGATGTTGTGAAAAAGTGACTACATTTGTGAAAATATGGAATACATGATTAGATATTAAATACATAGCTGCTTAGAAAGGTAACGCAATAAGTCCTTAATAAATAAAGTTAAAAAAAAATTACTTACTAAGCTTTAATTAAAAAAAGTAATGATGAGATTTACCGTGGAGGTGCTTAGATACATTGTGCATACAATTTGATTATTCAATTGGCTTTGCCGGGTTCTTAAATTTTGGTAGGAGTGCGATTGTTATTTCAATAAAAGTGTTGAGTTAAAGTACTTCGTTTAAGAGAAGAAGGGGGGTTCAATGAATAGGTTGCGCTTCTTTTTTTTCGGACATGGACAGTGTTCAAACGGTGGTCTGCTGGGCTTTTACAAAGCATATACCCATAAAGCAATAAATTCACCTAATATAAATCATTTTAATTTCTTGCAAATACAAAGAAGGGAGGAGAAAGACGCATTCAAATTCTGGCGAAGACTTCTTGGAAAAACTTGTAAATTTTGAGAAAAAATTTTCGGAGCGAGCACTTTCAAGATTTATGTATGTAAGAGAACAAAATCTTCATCACGCAATAAAATTACATTTTTTAGCTTCAATGAAGCTCTTTGTACCCAGCCGGACTTTAATAACCTCTTATTAAGGTTATACCTTTTAGGTGTGAAAGTCTTCCCACAGAGATTGTGGTGTGTTATTGATATGCAATGTGCTCAGTTTGTTAATTGTAGTTTTTGAAAAAGTCAAAAGATTAATCTAACCATGAAGTAAGTGGCTTGCTTACTTTTAGATTTATTAAAGTTTAAACACATCAAAGGTTTGGTTTCTTATTTTTTAAGTGTTTTATGACATATACCGCCAAAAGACACTTCTGAATATCAGTAAAGGCGCTGTAGCTGATCAGATCCCTAATATTTTTCTTAGAAACTGCGCACATCTTCAGCGTCATCTCATTTGCCTAGTTCCTCCACTTACTTTTGTGTTTTTTGTCCTTTTCGATTTATAAAAAGTGTATATATATTTATTTTTATTATTATTTATAAGTATATTTTATCGTCTTTATTTATTTTATAAAGTATACATATGTATATCGCATATTACATGATTCATATTATATATCAGCTTAAATTAAAATCTTAAACTTTGCTCTCCACTAACGATTGGCAACCATTTTACTTTACTTATTCAAAGGTTTCGCTCAATTTCTTTGCTTACAACTGTACAAACATACAATCACTTATGTATGTATTTGGATATGAGTATTCAAATGTAGTTTTTGTTTTTTTTTTTTGCGAAAGCACTATTACATTTCATTTCACTTAAAGGTTTTGTTCAAAAAACATATTTTTTTTAATTTTCTTAAATTGTTAATAAATTTTTGGGATTGTCACTGGCTATTGCAACTGGTGTTTTGTTTGGGCGGCTCACTCAATGTTGGGTTAGGATACAAACTAGCTATACATGTGTGTTTGTATTTATATGCTTTTGCTCATTTATATATATAGATAAATACATGGACTGTGTTCTCTTTTTAATTTGTATTTATATTATACTTATATACATAAGTAATTCCGATAATAACTACATACATATGTATGCATGTATGGAGTAAAGCTAAAATTTACAACGCCATTACGGGATTTGTGCGTGCAGGGGAAGAAATTTTATGAAAATTAATTTTTTTTAAATAACTTTCGTAGTAGCTGCAAGTAAATTAAAAAGTAAAAATTGCAAAGAACATTATATAATTTCTAAACTAATTTAATGGGTTAAAAATATTGCAATCAAATACCAAATGTGTAGTTGAAAAAATTAAAACATTATTTTTTTTTCTTGTTGTAATTTGGGAAACGACAAAAATAAATAAAATCAATTTCGGAACATTAAAAACAGTTTACTGAAATAGTGTACAATTATAAAATTGTAGTGAAAAATTGTTGCTACTTCTTATTAACATTATTTGGTAAAGTTGTTGATGCTGACGGTTATTTTTGTAATTACAAAAAAAAAATTAAAATGTTTTCAACAAGTTAAATTCCAATAAAAATTTATACAAACGTGTCTCTGTAGCTAAAAGATTTAAAAAATTAAGCTTTTGCTAACTTTTGGCGGTAAATTACAGCTATGCATGTGCAAATATTTAGTCCATGTTTTAATTCATTTTACGCCAAAAACGTTCTGATTTGTAAGTCTCTATTATTTACTATCTATTTACAAGCGAATTGCCCTTGAATCATGATTAAAAGCAAGAAAAACGTGAAAGCAAAAAAAATCTTACATTTATTAAAAAATTATACATACATTTGACACCTAAATCTAGGAAAAAATAAACTGAGTTTAATTTTTCTTTAAAGTAACTACTTAAAATTTTCTTTTGCAATGGCTTTTATCGAAAATATGTTTTATTTTTTTTTTATTTCTTCTAATATCTATGCACAGTACTACAACCGTTAAGTACTTCATATACATACTTCTTACAAAATTACAACATCTATTTAGTCAAGTGCATGCCAAAACAGAAAAAAGTTCTTCTCAATATTCTATATTGTTGGCACTGTTTACATTCGAATATCCATAGAAACACAAAAAAGTAGCTTGTTTCACATAAGGGTTAATCAATTCATTGACGACAAAATATGAAGAAGGCAAAATATGGATTCAGTGCAACTGAATGCAAAAATATTTACAATAGTAGCGTATATAATTAAAAACATAAAATAAAATTAAAACTTTTTAAAGCAAAAAAAAAAAAATTAACTGGAAAAAATAAGAGAGCGTTCCTAATTTCTAATGCAACTAGGATTCGTTTGTTTAGGCTTCCAGGCCTGTTGAGGCGTTGCATCCCGTCACGCACGCCTCGGCAGCTTAGAAATGCTACAGATCTGTAAAATAGAAATGTTTTAAATTTTTATTTCAATAAAAAAGTAAATTTTTACACTACTCACTCATTGTCTCCTGTTGTATTTCCACCTTGTACGAGGGATTGTCATAGGCGGCATCATTTTTGCGTGGTGGCGTTATCGACGCCGTTTGATGTACACGTCTTCTGGTTAGAATGAGTAACAGCACAACTGTGGACATGACTGCCAAAGCAGCAACTACCGAAACAACCACAAGTGGACCATAGTAATCACCAATTGGTTGATCACCACCAGCACTGGCTGTGAGTAGTTTTCCTAAATTGATGAGAAACAAAGTTAATGGCTTAAAAATACAAAAAGTCAGACGATGCGAGCCTACAAAATCTAGGTATCTAGTTAAAAATTTTGACATTTCGGGAACAAAAGTAAAATACGGTCCTGATACAAGAAGATTAACAGAGCTAACACAGAATCTATCCTAGTCCGATTTTTCATGCAATCAACGAAAACGCTATCGTTGAATTCGAATAGCTACGCGTTCGCAGCAATTCGGATTCAGTGATCGCACTCTCGTAGATTTCACGAAAAATTGGACTACGGTGGATTCTGTGACAGCCACCATAAGCTCCAAGTATGTAGGCTCACGCGGCTCGGTAGCATCAAGCTTTCAATTAAATACCACACAAGGTATATGGGAGTAGTTTCGGATAGTGAGGAATGCAGGCCATTAACGCCCTGGTGCTTGGGGTCACCTGTCGGGATGCATGGCTACACAGAAATATAGACCAATATTATTCTATGGCACTTTGGTGTGGTGGAATGCCGAAAAAAGTCCTCATGCCCGGGTATTTTCGAGATCGTCTATCTAGAGTCCAACATGCTTATAATAGGGGAAGGTCTGTGGAGCCTGCCTTGCATACAATTGCGAAGTGGATGGAGGAAACATTCGCTCATAATGATGCTACAAAAGAGATATTCTTCGACACCGAGTGTGCTTTAACTACGTTCTGATCAGGGTTGCCACTGACGAAAAAAAATATTTACCATCCACTTGAAAAAAATCTACCAAATCTGGGGAATATCTACAAATAACTTTTTTAAAATTATTTTAATAAAAACTATAGTTTTGTTATTTTTTATTTATTTTAATTAAAACTGTAGATTTGTTTTAATTTTTTTTTAGTTATTTCAATAAGAAAACTCTTTTTAAGAACTTTTTATTTAACTAGTTATACGGTATTTGAGTCATATTATTGGCATATTCTCAGTTTCCTTCAACCAAAAGCGGAAGTTATGAAGCTAAAGGCAACAGTGAAACTTCTTTATTTAAAAAACTTCAACTCGAGTTGTTATAGACAAATACATTGACTCAAAAAAGTGATTTTATTTTAATATTCGCACTATTTTTCGAGTAAAATTTTTTTATTGCTTTAACTAAATCCAAAAAAATCGAGGATTCAAACTATATACAACATAAATCCAAAAATTTTCGTCTAAATTTCGATTTTTTTACTCTGAATTTTTAGAACCATTTAAGGTTTGGAGTTTTGAATCAAATACTATTTGAGTGTAGCCAACAATGTGCTGCTTAAAATTCCCGTTGATTTTTGTTATTTTTTTTTTCTTACATACCTGTCAAATTTTTCTTTATATTTAAATAATCATTTAAAATATTTAGGCAATCAAAAGCTCCTAAAATTAGTTTTGAATGGAGCGCGATATGTTCGCCTTATATCAATATATATTTATACGTATGTAAGTATGTAAAAAGCATGCAAAGAAATTTATAATATATTTAAAGATAAATACGAAAAATAAATCGGGAACAGAAAGTTCATCAAAAATCTACCAAAATGAGAAAAAATTTACCTTTTTACCAACCCAAATTTTTTCTACCAATTTTGGTAACAATTTACCAAAGTGGCAACCCTGGTTCTGATGGAGGCAATAGATGAATTACGAGATAAGCTCGCGGTTGAGAGCAAGTTCATAAAGCTAATCTACGACTTGTTCAGTGGCAGAACTTTCGCAGCTAATTGTGACAGCGCGTACCTGCAGCGTAAAGTGAACAGAGACATCCCGAAAAGTATAGCAGTCTAGCCTCTGTTCTGTATCGCGGCCGTAAACGATTGATAGAGGACATTCAGATAAGGTCTGTTTCTAGACACAATACACGAACCAAACTGAAGTTATTTAAGCCTAGTTAATCCTCGGTAACTCGCTCGTGGTGCACCCTACACCCCACTACTTATAAGTTTGGCTATGTTTGTTTTGCTACTTGTGTCTGAATACTCTAATAAGCCATTGACCCACTTTATCAGTTGATACAAGCTGGTTGCGTCCGCTCATTCGATTAAGAAACAATTGCTTTAAAATTGGCTTGGGGTGTATGGGACACCGCGCGAGTAACGACGTACTAAAACTAATGCGCGAATAAGGGAGAGTTAAGAAGCTAGAGCGCATACACAGGCATGCCCTCATCAGCATTTCAGACCATTTCCATTTTGGGGACTGACGCAGGATGACACTTTAAGTCAAGGAAATCATCCTTGTGGCGAGAAGGGGAACAGTGGATTTTTTCTGGGATGGACCGAAGCTGACTAGACATATCGCTCAAGGGTATGGCGTAAATAAAGGAAATAAGTTTTTACTCTAATACCTAAGAGACAGCTAGGGCATTGGGCTCGCTCTAAATTGCGGCGGAATACCCTTGTAATTAGACTTTTATAGGCACTAGGCTACAGAGGCATTATGGTGAACTACGTGGCTGCCGGACTGAAGAGAAAGAATATCCTTGAAACGAAATTACTGGGGATGGAGCGAGTAAGAGCCACACTGACCATCTGCATTCAATCTTCCACTATTTAAGGACCGCATTTCAGCTCGGCAAATATTGGGCTAAACCAAGAACAATCACAATTCCAAGGTACCTCAGACCCAGGAGGGCTCATGGGCGGTCAAAGGAGACCCTTATGCTTTAAAGCCAGAGCACGTACTTTTGGCGGGCTTCCTGACAGGGCCGAATTCACGTAGAGAGACAAAAAATACCACCTGATCCTTCTTGAACTGTACACTTTGTACTTAAAAAAACGCTGCAGAACTTTTGGTTACGCGCGTCGTTTCTTCAACGGAGCAGTGGTTGCCGTTCAAAATATGGTGGTATCACAAAGCACGACCTCTATCATGTCTACGTGTGTCCACAACTAGAGACGACCAACGCAAACTAACCTAGTTATATTAATACTATCGGTTGCTGAATTTATTTCTGTAGCTGAACATTTTAAATACAGGATAACACCTGAATACCCCTAACAATCCTACATTTTCACGAACTTCTAAATACATTAAAAATTTTGTAATTACCCAAGTCCCTGAAGAATGTATGCATCCTTTCGAAAGCATTAAAAACTTCAGAAGAAAAAAGGATTTTGCAATTATGAATATTAACTACAAAAATGTGTCCATCACATTAATTTCACTGCACTTACCAGTTTTTCCTGGCGTCGCTGGGCCACCTGGCTTCGTCATGAAGTTCACCACATTGCTCTTTTTGATATTGCCATTTGTCAGATACATTTCCAACCACAGATGATACCTAGTGCCTGGTTTCAAATCCATAATCAATGTGCCCGTAGTGCTATCACGTTTGGCCACTTTGAATACGCTCGAATCCTCCTTGCCAGCATCGCTCTGATAGATAGCACGATAAATATTCACATATTTATCTTCCGGATATGGCACACCATTCCATGACACTTCTACGCTCTGCGACTTCACCTTGGTCACATTAACCGTTACATCGAAGTTGTATACATCCACTTTCGGCGCTGTGCGCACCTTAATCATATGACCGGCCAAGAGTTCACCACCATGCCCAGCCAGCGGTATATAGAATAGACCAATTTCATAGCCAGTATCTGGCTGCAAATTCTCAATAGTGTAAGTGGTGAGCGTGCGATGTACCAGCGGTGTGGATGAGTATATTTGACCAGTCAATTCTTTGTAACGCAACTGTATGCCATCAACATATTCCAACTGTTCATCGGAGATCTTCTTCCACGTCAGCTGCAACCAAGTAGAGTTTGTTTCGCTAACATTCAATTCGGGATCTTCAATACGTTTAAAGACGTCCTTGAAGTCGGGACGATAATCAGAGATATGTGGTGGTGGTGTAATCGTACGATCAGCTGGCGTACTAACAGTCAGTATCGGACTCGACGGTTGTGCATTCAGATCACGCAATATCAGTGTAATCTTGACCTTGTACAGTGAATTGGGTTCCAAGCCGGGCAGATCGAATTCCATCTGAGAGGTGGCAATAAGATCTTCGGGTGGTGCGAAAATTTGTTGCTCCCACGTTGTGGTATCGTTGCCAGGGCCGTTCGTGTAACGCAGCTCCACGCGCCCATGTAGATTGACATAGGTTGGGGGTACTGTAAATATTATGCGAATGGTGCGCGGATCAATGGCTTCCAGATTGAGTACCTCAATGCCGCTTTGCAGATTGTTGAAGCCTAGGAAAAGCGTGAAAGAGGGCGAGAGAGAGAGAAAGATAGAAATTAAAACTTGCTGCGGGTATCATCGAGTAGGAAATGGGGTTTCTTGAGTGTTTTAAGTAATTTCCTGAGGTTTTGTGGACTTGTGTGTGTTTTGCTAAGACAAGTACTTTATCCACTAGAGACCTGATATCCAGTTCAAAGCAAATTATGTTCACTAAACTGGGTCGTATTGCATATGTTTGTGTGTTAGTTAGCAAGGCTGTTAAAAACATAGAAAAGTTAGTTTGAAGAATTGAAGTACGCATGAGACTGTTACATTGTTATTACAATTAAGTTTTTCAAGCATTGACAGGCAAATGAATGTGTTTTTATGTTAGTTAATTGAGGCTGAAAAATTAGGTAGTTCTATAAAAAACATCTGTGATGAGTTAGTGCGGCCAATTGCTTCTATATTTCGCCTATTTCCGTTTAAGGGTTAATGAAATTCTGCTTGTGTGCGTATGTATACTACTACTGCTATGGCTATGTTATGTATGAATCAACCTGTTTGACTGGAATGCGTAGAAGCTGGGGCGACAACAGCAGGCAGTATGCCATGTTCGGTAGAATGCGCGGTTAGACCCACCGCGCTCGTAGTCGCTGCAAATGTGTTTGAACTACTCGCCGATTGCTCCTGCGGCGGCGACGCCGGCTGCGGCTGATGTTGCAATAAATTACTATTGTTATTGCTATTCACATTCGCCGAATGTGCTGCATGTGGCACATGAGCAGGCTGCCCGAGACCTGGTACTACGGGGAAACCGCCATAAGCCACCGGCTGACCATCAACAATCGCTATACCGTGCGGTGGCGGTGGTGGCGGCAGACCGCTATGCACAATTGGCACATATTGTTGATGCAATGGTGATTGACCCGGCTGTAGTGGGTGTGGTAGCTGCTGTTGTGGTGGTGGCAGTCCATTGGCGCCACTCTCATTCACATGTCCATGCGGCCCATTGTAGGCACCCTGCACGGGCGTGTGCTGCAAGTGTTGTAGAATGTGTTCGATGCGCACGTGTGGAGGCAAATTTCCGGGTGTGGCTTTGAAGCCTGGTGCTGGTCCAGGTGGTCCGCCCGCTGGTAGCATGCCTGGTGGGTGCGCGGCCGGTGAACCAGCACCCAAGATGTTGAACAAATCTGATTGACTAGTTGGCGCAGGCGGCTTACCCTGTGCGATGCCGTTTGGACTAATATCGTAGGGTTCGTAAGGATTGTAGGGGTCGAAATGATCCTTTGGTGGCTGTGCGGGATTGTAGAAGCCGTATGGGCCGGGGTGGCCAGCTGGCGGCAGGTGGGGATTGTAATTAACAATGGCGCCGCCAGGTCTGCCAATCTGTATGGGTATAAAGCCCGGTGGCGCGGTGTCTTGCTCATCTTGCGGCTCGTGTACGTCGTATTTGACTTCATTCTGTTGCGGCTTCACAATGACTGGCTTCTTTACGAACTTTTCATGTTTGTCGTGTTTCTCGGGCCGCAGTTCACCAAATGCTGAGGCGCCCTTTGGCGGTTTGCCATCGAGGGTTGGGTAGAAGGCGTCGCCAGGTCGTGCGGGTTTCTCGTGCGCTTTGCCTGGGTAAATATCATTTTTATCGCTGGAGACGTGCGCTGTACTGCTGCCGGTGGTGTTCGGTTGCTCGGTGGTGGATGCTGTGCGGAATGTTGATTGATGCGTTGGATAGAGACAGGTTGTTGTTATGACGTTAAGTGACATTGGAGATTTGTTTATTTACAAGAAGACGATTTGATTTTATGCATTCGATGATGTTAATATTTTTTTTTTTATTTAGATTTAAAATTTGCATTTAGATGCGATTTTGTGTAAGTGCACAAGACAATATGAAGCACATTAAGAGTTACGAATAAAAGAAAAAAGTACAAATAATAAATTAGAATTTAGTAAATAATAATGAATGATTTGAGTTCCATAAAAATACCCGAAAAAAGCAAATGTAAATAGTCCTAAATAATCTGCGATCACAAGGACCTACATATACATATGTGACGATAGCATTATTTTTTACCAACCAAAAACGATCTGATCTAATGACGTAATCATGCTTAGGTGTTTTATTTATTAGCACATATGAAATGAAGTTTATGAAAATATTTCAAAAATGTCTCAAATCGATATTAAATCGTAAAAAAATTAGCTATGCGCTATTTATATAAGGAGAGAAAGGTTAGTCTTGAAGATATCTGCATGCAACATTTGGACTAAATTCTTGCTATTTCTTACTACCTAAAGACTAAAATATCTGGTGAAATACTTGCATTACTATGACTATTTTTTTTTAAGTAATTTATTGACATCTAACGGAAATTTTCCAAATGCGGATTCTAATTCGAACTCCTTTTCAAGTAAACGATATCGAAATTTTCTCGGCTCAATTTGGTTGTAAAAATTTAAATCTCGCAAAGCAGAAGAAGATTTTTTTCTTTCAAAGACACAGATAAGGAATAAAAAACCCCTGAGTTCACCATGGAAATTGGTAATGTATGTATGTATACTAAGGCGAAAGTCTTTCATAAGAAAATTGTCAATTCTGGCAACTATCTCGAAAGCTATTTTCTGTCTTTCGAAAGACTTAATTGAAAGATCTGCTAAGGAGGAGGCGATATTCTGTTTTCTAAAAATACAATCACATTAAAAATATTGTTTTCATAAATAAAAACATAAAAATGACAAGTAATTAAATAACAGTTCTCGAAAAATTTAATAAAATAAAAAAAATATATATGTATGAATAAATATAATTTTTTTAAATATATTTTTTTAAACAATAATATACAAAAATTAAAAGAAAATTAAATTTAAAAAATTGTATAAAAAAAAAATTAATAACAGGATATTAAAACGTAAATGATATAAACAATTTCTTTTTGAAACAATAAAATCTAAATACTAAATAAAGGCAAATTCAATAAACAAAAAAAATAAAAAAATAAAAAAAAAATTATTACTTCAATTAAAAAGAACTTTTGTTTTTAAAACAACAAAATGTGTAAATTAAAGGAAAATTTAATTAGAAAAGAAAAAACTCAAATAAAAAATATGTTTCTAAAATCTAAATTATTAAAAATATATACTGATGGTTTTAGCGACCTTTCTACTTATAATTTAGTATTTTGCAGGCTCGAGGTCAATTTAAAATTTAATTTTTTTTTTATGAAAACACAAGTTCCAAACTCCACGTCAAACAGTGCGGACGTGTAAATTAATTTGCCCAGAGGACGGTTACCGAAGCGTAACCGAAATATATCGAAAATAAACACCAAAAAAACTTGTATTTTCATAAAACATTTGTTTAAAATTGACCTCGAGCCGGCAAAATACTAAATTAAAAATATATATATATTTTGTTTTTAACAATGAAGAATAAAAATGATAAAAAAATTGAAAAATGATTTTCTAAAAATTAAATTAAATAAAAAGAATATTTTTTAAAACAGTAAAATCTAAAAACTAAAAGGTAATTAACTTACAAAAATATTAAATAAAAAGAAGAAAAAATAATAACTTTCTAAAAAAATAAATGAAATTAAAATATATACATAAAAGTTGAAAACTAATGAAATTTAAAAAAAAATTAAATAAGTTCCTGAAAATTAATTGAAATCAAAAGAACATTTTCATTTTGAAACAATAGAGCCTAGAATTTATAAAAAATTAAATTGAACAAAGGATACTCAATAAATTCTAAAAATTAAATGACATTAAAAAAAAATTCTTTTTAAAACAATAAAATCTCAAAATTAAAGGGAAATTGCATTAAAAAATAATATATATATATAAAATAAATGAATAAAATACTCGCCTAAATCTAAATCTAAATAATAAAAAATGCATATGTTTTTCTTTTTAAAACAATGAAATATAAAAAAATACAAAATACATAAAATAAGTTTCTAACATTTAAATGATATTCAAAAATGTCTAGTCTCCATAAAAAAACTAAAATCCAAAAATTGAAAGAAAATGAAATGAAATAAAAATAATAATTCCACTGCCCGAAGATTCGTACTTCAGTGCTTTGCTCACTCGGCTATTGATATACAAGTAAATCTCCATTTGGAACTGTTGAAAAAATCTTTTCACTGCCAATTTAGCAAGGGAGCTTTTATATGTAAGACTTTCGTGGCAGAATAAACAAAACTTTTCAAACAATCTTGCCTACTGTCTTTAAATTGCCTTTCACAAGACTTACAACTATCTTAGCCAGAATTGCCCTATAAATCTAAGGTTTTAGTAGATGGGAATGTCTCATGAACACGCAAAGACTTTGAAATAAACATAGACCGAGGGGAGGTTGCGGATTAACATAAAATAAGAGGCAAGTTGAGAGTACGTTTTGAAACTCTACTTTGCTTATGTTGTCGAAACAATCATAACATGGATCCACTTCATGTTATCCGGAATAGATAAAATAGATATATAGAAAAATATAGCCCATGCACCATGACACGGGTTGGCCTTCCTTGCAGTGTTACCAGAACTTTTCCAGAAAAAATACTAAACGGCGAAGAAACCAAAGCGAAGAAGAGGAAGCTAACTGCTAAGTTTAAGATAAAAACGGTGTGTGCTTTAAACGAAAGATATTTCGCAGTCGACAGATGTCAATCCCGAAGAGATCCTTAGGACTGGATAGATAGTACGATTTAATGTGTTAGGAGAAAGTTTAAAGATGTTTCCTCCCTATCATCGACTATACAGCTGTGATATTGAGGATCCTGTCTGGTATTTAGTCTGACTGGACAGCGTAACGTCAATCCACCCACCGTAATTTAGCGGTTCGGCTTTATGGGACCGAGAAGGTACTCACCATCTCAATTTTTTCGGTAAGACCGATTCGATGGTGATTTTCCTGGCCGACCCACACAATGTAATTGCCTGCAATATCGCTATGGTCTGATTGGGAAATCATAAGAGGTAATTGAAGGTGAGGTCAAGCATAACCCTATTAGCTTTGCGCGCACAGTGGGCGAACATAGGGCCCTGAGTCATATTTACTACAATTAGCTACTTTTTAATGGCAGCTACCTCTGCCTGGAAAACGCGATAGAGGTCTGGAAGCCTATATTTGGGGTTGGTGGAGAGCTCACTACACAAATAATCTGTTTACCGACCCTTCCGTTAATCTTCACTCATTCATCTTGCAGTTTACAAGTGCTTTTTCATAACGACTGCCTCTCGTCCACTCATTTGAGTGCACGAAAGCCTATGACTTTTGAAACCGGGCATATTTTTTAGAATGAAAAATGTACATTATTTCGGAGAGATTTTGCAAAATTTCGAAACAATGACAGCATTGGTATTTCTTTTGATTACATTCATGTCCTTGGTTAATATATATAGTGAAGGAAATAAATAGCTAAAAAAGCTAACTTTTTTTTTAAACCTAAAAAGAACCTAAATATAAAAAGCTAAATGTAGCCGAAAAAATCTAGGATGGCTGCACCGCTCCCTTGTGGCATTTGGCGGTTCTGAACGATTATCTATTAATGGAAATGCAAGACTGCGATCCACATTCAAGCTGAGGCTGATGATGCTTGTGCACTAGCGCCAGGCCTATAGAAAAATTCCAGGTAATTCTGATTGAGATGGATTAACGATGCACTGTGCATAATCTTGCTGTCATCCGCTGAGAAAAAAATTTGAAGGTCTCAAACTTGCGTCAAGCTGAAATTAGAATCGAGTATTGAACATTTGCGGACAGTGTCAGGCTTATGGCCTGAGTCCAGCTGTAGTAATTTTTGTTTTGGCAGCTTCATTCAAAGTGAGCATCACATATTCTGCTGTAGTATGGCGGCGAGGAGTCTTGGTCAAAACCACGATTTCTATGATAAACAAACTGCAAACGAGTGTGTATTGACATTACGGACACTATTAGTACAAAATTAGATCTAGCTGTTTGGATTGTTGCACGGCGATACTAGTTTCATGCACAGAAAGTTATTTAGAAGGTTGTCCGAACAAACCCTTCGTTTTTGGTCCCAAGTGAAGAATGGAAAGATGAAGGTACTCTATTCGGGAGCTCTACAAAAATATTATATACTGATGACTCCAACACGAAAAATGGAAATGGAGCTGATTGCCAAGCTATTCTAAGGCCCCTGGAAAAGAGGCTTTCAGACATAATCCAAGGGGCAGAATATGATGAGACGAGTACAATAGTATAGAGGGTTTTATTTGCAGTTGTATTCAGATTTATCAAAGAGTCTGGAAATTCTGCGAATGGGAAATGAATATTTTCTCCTATTATTTTTTCTTTTTTTTGTCCTCAAGTACTATGGGCCAACAAGACTAAATGCTTAGAAAATCTTTAGAGCTGAGAAGAATGTCCTGTGGCAGCACGGTAACAGGGGATGTCATCACCGACTGACTTTGTCCGGCCCTACCTGTCTTCAAAAACTAGTATTTCATATGGAGCACCAATCTGGTGACTTTCAAACTCAGTGTCCAGCTGCTGTGCACCGAGTGCAATGACATCCTACCCAAACGGAGGCAGGTGTCAGGGTTTAGGGTTCGGGAAAACCGCTGCCTACCGACTGCACCATACTAAATACCTTGAACAACTATAAACCCCGCGCACCGCAACCGAGCCGCTGTGGCTGTATTGAGACTCAGAGTTTGAAGCGCGTAGCTTCACTTACTGACGAATTGAAGTTGGAATACGAAGTAGGTTCAAGGACTATCATTGGGCAAACTGAAGCGTTTACCTAGTTACGGTAAAATGCCTAAAACACCATGCAACCGCGAGATCGCCCGTAAACATTTTTTCAGATAGATAGGCGCCAATTTAGGCCCAAGGAAAGCTTCATAAATGCTGTGCTGAACCATCGATTTCAATGAATAATAAGTGGTTTATTGATTTCCGTTGTTATGGTACCAGCACAAGTAACGTAGGACGTTGAGTTCGTTCAAAGAGGTCGTCACGACGGAAGTCATCGATCGAATCCTGAAAATAAAGGTATCTCTTGGACATGAAAAAGTAATCCGCACGATGGATGCCGCGATTGTTCACACTCGATCATAAGAGCAACCGTGTGACGACTTCAAAGGAGTGTTTGTAGCTGTAGACCAAGGAATAGCCAAACAGTGCACTTCTGCATGTGAACTGGTACCAATGACAAAGTGGGTCTGTCTGCCAGCAATGTTTTGGCTAGATCGGCTGGCTCCCTGGTAAGATATTTCGGTTGAATGAGGTGACCCTTTCTAAAACGTACGTCCATTTTGAGTACTTTGAGAAAATCTATTTTTTGGGAGGTATACAAAATTTGGAAAAAAGCTAGGCTAGAAGAGGCTTAAAAAAACAGCCGTGAGCACCAGGTAATCATAAAATTTGATGCGTGATACAGTGCCGATCTAGTCCCCAATGGGCCTTAAATAGGCTCGAAATTACCCTGAAATGGTCCTTAAAAGGCCTCGAAACTGTCAAAACGGTCAAATAAGTCGCGAACTTGTTCTAAAATTGTCTCGAACAAGTCTTTAAATGGACCATTTCGGTACCTCAATAGTCCAAAACTGAACCGGAACTAGTCCCAAAATGTTCCTAAATATGTAAGTCCTGAAAGAGTCTCGACATGTCCTTAATACTTCCAAAATAATCCGAAACGAGTCCTGAAATGTTCCTGCAATAGTCCTGAACAAATCTCGAAATGATCACGAACTACTGCCCAAATTGTACTCAAATAGTCCTGAATTAGCCCCAAAATAGTCTTGAATAGGCACCGAGATGATCCCGAACATGTCCCAAAACGATCCCGAAATGGCTCAAGACTAGTCGGGAACAAATCGCGAAATGGTCCTGACATAGTCCAGAAATTTTGAATTGGACGTTTGGACCCAGTAGACGCAATTACAGATTTTCTGCTAAGCTACACAAAAAGAGGTTAAAAATTTTCTGGGGGTTAATTTATATCCTAAAAATAAGTGGAAAAGATTTCGAGGTCCATTAGTCGACCATATTTGCTCATGCGTTCATGGATTAATCGCTGGGCATTTCATGCAAGCTACCCAAACCTAAAGCAATAAGTTCCTAAATAAATCCCAATAATTCGTAAACCGTTGTTTACCCAAGCCTCCTCCCTCACCTGCGAACCTTTTGAAAATAGCTACGTTGTTATATTACTTTAAAACTATTTCCAATATTTACCGCTTAAATCATTAATTCCATGCATTGGTGGTGGCAACGCAGTGGAAGCCTCAACACCATCACCGCCACTCAGTTTGGGCGCAAATTGCGCGCAGGCCCAGTGTTTACAGCACTCATCGTCGGGAATGGGCAGAATACGTGCCTGCGCCGGATGGCAGGGCAAATCGGGCGGCGGCAAGGCAAGCACGGGCGGACAAGCTGGCCGACATTCAACTTTACCGTTCTCACAATAGCAATGCTGCTCACAACCTGTCACACGGAAGCAACGCAATGAGGCGAACGCAGCGTGAATGAGAAATGTAAAAAAAAAAATAAGAAAAGAAAAAAGAAAATGCGGTTAGTGTTAATTGACTGTTTGAATTGATAGCATTGTTAGTGTAAATTAAATGTACAGTACGTGTGCGCTTGCGCTTGCGCTTATAACGCTACTCACCAGTAAGATTGGTCGGTATGGGTGACCAGTTGTCGAATGTGTGATCCAAGTAAGCGCAGGTGCCGTTATCCACACAACGCATCTTCTCCGGACAGCAATTCGGTGCCTTGGCTTCAAAATCAGCTGGCTCCGGTTCCCAGCGCAAGCAATGTGGATTGAGCAAATCCAAACCGAAAGTTGACGGACATTGCAGCTTGGCACAGTGTACACCTTCGAGCGTGCAAATGCATAGCTGTTCGCAGCCATCGTGAAATTGTTGACCATCGCGGTAATGTTGTCCCTTGTATTCGCAATCGAGCTGCTCGTGTCCACCGGAGAGATCGCGCGCTTCCTCGGGGCCATATTGCTCGTCGCCAATCGAGTTTTGCGCTGTAGGTGGGGATGCTGTCTGTTCGTGATCGTCGAGTGTGACATCGCACAATTCCAGTTGGCAGCATACGTCCTTGGGATCTTTCACATACACACACTTATCGAGGCGCGTGTGATTGCGCTCCCGACAACGTGGTTTGCAATTCATCACACCGCCTTCATCGCAGTGACAGATCTGTTCGCAGCCGATCTCCAAACGTTCACGGAATTTGTAAACGCTGCCGTTGTGGTGGCAGTCGGGACGAGGCGTTTGTGAGGAAGCTGCGCGCGAGGTGGTTCACAGTGTATGTACGGAAGTAAATGTTTACAATGTTGGATGTATTTTTTTTTTTTTTTAATTTCATTGGGCACAGCAAGTGGCGGGCGGTATGTGTTTAATTGGTTGATGAATTGATAGCATTTTTGTGATTTTATAATTTGTTTTTTGTTGAATGTTGTTGCAAATTAAATGAGAAAGAGAAAAAATATGCGAATAAGCAAAATGTGGCAAATAAATTATATGAGATAATGCAATTTAAACAAAAGCGTTTATATCAATGGAATGCACTTTATAACCTTTATAAGCCGCAGTAAAAATTCATGTCTATCGAATGATCTTGAAAATGTTAAAATTTGTAACCTCTCCTTTAGTTATTTTGCGAAAACAATTGGATGACTCAAGTTTTCAAATTTCCCCAAAAAAAATTTGTTCCGCTAAGCAATTGAAGTGACTTATTCCGAATTCATGAGAATTTAGCATGTATTGTATGTAAGTATTTATGTGTGAGTGCTTGAAGCATTTGTTTAATATTACCTACACTTGTGTGAGTGCAATCGCCGAAAAAGCAACGGTAAGTTCGAACTGAAAAGGTTCATTTTATATGGCACACTTTGGTATTTATTTCCGCATTTGATACGCTGATAAATGGCAGCTCTGATCAGTACTACATATATATGTAAGTACTCTTAGGTTAGGTTAGCTTAATGTGCTGGTCAGTTAAAATAACCAATTCACTTAGACCTCGTAGGTCGTATGATAACAATGTGAAACACGGGAGCTCTTATGAAATGTAGGATTGGTTTATTCCTAAAGAACTGTTTACCTAAAAAGCCTGCTCTGCTCTGAGCTAAAGCTGACAACTGCCTTCCAAATCTCTGTACCCTAATTTTACCTCTGGTTTCATGCAGTGGAAGACTTTGTATTACATTCCTTGGCTAGCTCATCGGCCCTGAAATTTCCATCAATATCTCCCGGTATCCATATGAATCTGACCTTGAAGACGGTGCTTATATCGTTTAGAACTGCCAGGCATTCCTGTGCAACCATTGATATTAGCATTACCGCATTCCTTGATTTAATGACACCTGGCCCTCTGAGAAGACATGAATCGTTTTCTTCGTTACGGCATGTTTATTAACATAAATATCCCCTCTTTTATATATGGAACTTACGCCTGATAAACATTGCAGTAGTCCGCGTAGGAATATATGCAATACTCCCTTCTCCATGATCCGGTGTTAGCCACTCTCTTCATGACGGTTTATTCGACATAAAGGGCCTACCGATGATGGGTTTAGAAATGGAGTAGTCGATTTCGTGGTTATAACTACACAGAATGTAATATATAAAAGCGTAGCGGAACCGTTGCCATTTCCATAGTCTCATACCTGTTTTCTTAGTAGATTTCCTGCAGACAAATTGGTTAGCACTTTACGCGCTTTGTTTGGGTTAGTTCTTAAAGCACTTGAGATGCTTGGAAACTCATGTATAAAAGTAATTCAACATTGGTCTTCTTAACTATTTCCTCTACTTACAAATATAAAATTTCTACGTAAACTTCCTGTCTAATATGAGTCCTAGATGGTTAACATTCCATTCCCAAGAAATCTCTATACCCTTGAAAGTTAGCGGGCGGATTGTAGGAAACGTACGTTTCCTTGTAAAGAGAATTACTTCAGTTTTATTGGGATTTATTCCGAGTCCCCTACCCTCTGTCTAGTTTCTAAGCGTGACCATATTAGAGCGCAGAATATTCATTTGGAAATGTAGATATTTGACTTTGACCCTCCCTTAGGGGTGCCTCTGCAGACCTGTCTGCTTAGTGTGGTGTTGCCTAACCTTGCGGTAATGTTTCTTCTGATGAGTGTAGCCTCAACGTTAGTGTTACGTTCAAAATTTTCTAAGGGTTGCGTTATGGCGTTTGCATTAACCCGGCTAGCGAGTGCAAGGTGGTTTCCGTAGATCTGTCTTTCGTGTAGACATGTTGTGATGGTGAGAAAAGGCTAGTTGTTATCATACTCCGTATATATTCAACCTCTAGCTTTTCTAAAGCGTTGCCCAGGAAAGACGTTAGACTAATGGGTCTGAATTTTTTGGGATAAGTATGAGAGGGTCTACCTCCCTTGGGTGTAGAGGCGGCGTTCGACTCTTTCCCGCTTACCGAAACAAAGCCATCGTTAAGACTGATTCTTATAATAACCGCAATAATCGGAGATATAAAAACCCGTGATTGCTGCAAATCTGCCGGGTGGATGTTTCGGTGATTTGTAGCGACGAAAAGTTTTAATAGCCTATTCCGCTTTCGAATTTCTTATCATTAGATTAACGATATCAGATTGCCGCGCCTCATTAGCGAATTAGCTATGCTCCACTGGATTGTTATCTGGGAAGCGTGTATCTTGGAGGAGACCTAATTATTCCTTGTTCATCGTACACACATGGACGTTCCCTTGACCCTCAAACTAGCTTAGGTTACATGACCACTTTGCAAGTATTCTTCTTAAACTGGCCGTTTCCATTAAGAAACTGGGGAAAGTGAAGTGACTTCGTGTAGCTTGGGGAACAAACGTAATGAATGGATGCTTTTGAAAATTTTAATTCATGGAAAAAATGTGCCATATTTTAGCTGTGTGCTAAGCTTGAAGTATCATGTTTTTTGAGTAGGCCTATCAGTTTTTCGAATTCACTGAATTTTCAAAGTTTTGAAATTATGTATTTAATTTTCAATTTTTACTTTTCTTGTTGTATTTTCGAATGTGTACTATTTTACACAGTTGAAAGTCACAGCAAGTTTGAATATTTTCACAGGTTTAGAAAACAACGAAAATTCCAAAAATTTTTAATATTATAAAATTGTTAAATTTCCTGAAATTTTTTATTTTTAGGATAATTTCCAAAATTTCAAATACTATTGAAATCCGAGCGATTCTATAAATTTTGGTAAAATGAGAATATTTTGAAATGCGAAAAATTATTGAGATTTTTAAAATTTTTATATTTTCCAAAATGTTGTATTTATTCTTAAATCTATCCTAAAATGTAAAAATGTGAAACATCACAAATTGTGGGAAAATTCTTACGTTTATGGTACTTGTGTATAAAAAATAGAAAATTCTTAGAATTCTAAAATATATTAACATTTTTGAAAAAATTCCAAAATTTTTCCACTTTTCTGAACTTTTCCAAAATTTTGTACTGATATAACAAAGTTGGAGAATTTTAAATTTTTTGAAAATGTTGAAAACATCTACGTCCAAAAATTTTTTGAATCTTCAACAATTACGAAAATTTTTAAATTTTCAAAAAAGACGAAATATCAAAATGTTTTAAACATTCGAAAACTTTTAATTTGGTTTGATGAATTTTGTATATTCGACACTTTTACTTAGAAAAAATTTGTTAGAATTCCTACAATTCTCGAAGTTTTTTAAAAATAAAAAATTTCTAGAAATCTAGTATTCATAATTATTTTGAATTATTCTGATTTACTAAAATCTCTCAAATTCACAAAGTTTTGAAAGTTTAGAAAATTTTGGAATTCCACTCAAGTTATTTAAAATGGAAAACTTCAAGAAATGCAAAACTATCAAAACTCCAGATATCGAAACGGGGCAGTGTTGCCAGTTTAGATATTTCTCCCCCCATTTAGGGTTATTTTAGGGAGAAATAGATATCTTTAGCAATTTGTTTACATATAAAAATTTAATTTTTTTGTTCTAAGAGAAGTCAAAGAAAAACAGGAAAATATTGTAACTTTCGAACAGTGTTATATTACATGTACATATTTATGCATGTGTGTAATGGAACACCCTATTTCCAATCCAAAGTTCGCAGTACGAACGTCGCTTCTTTTTCAGTCTCATAGCATGGGAACTGTGACCTGTGCTTCCAACATCAGTTTGCTATCCTGAATTATACTGAGCTATTTCCCTTTAATTCATGATCCGCGATAAAAGTGTAGAGCTCAGTTGGTGGACTTAACCAGTAGACCCTACGAAGTGTTGACGGTTATATAAAAACACCATCGTTAAATTTGTACATTCCAATACCAAAAACCACAAGAAAGGAAAGATACCAGCGCCCAGACTTTATCCTCTTCACGATCAGATACGAGTATTTTAATTCATCTTTTACGAAAATGTTCAATTTTCGCTATCAACACAAATCTTCAATGAAAGTTACTACGTGCAATTACCCCTTCAATAAATTTGTTCATATTCACACACTCACCATTCACACCACCTTCCGGGGAGCCAATTGTGTGCATCAGACCGCATTCCATAGTCGCGCAACATTCATCGACGGCCATTTGTCGGCAATGCGCTTGCGCATCCAAATCCATATGCGGAGCACCTCCAACCAGTTTGAAAGTGTTGCCCATGCAACGTGGTACACAAATCCATTCGCCACGATTACACGTGCAACGCTCATCACAGCCGCGATTCATTGTTTCGCCATTCTGTAAAGAAATAATGCAGAGGAAAAGAAGTGGTTAATAAAACAGGTGACGACGACAGCAGCCTCAGAATAGATATAAAGAGCGCGAAATTAACAACATTCACATAAATCAAGTTACCAACTGTGAAATTATTGAGCAATCAAATGCGGAAATAAGTGGAAGAAACAAACGTACATACATGTATAAATATGGGCTAAAATATGGTATATACATACCAAACCGCTTTGCTGAAATGAACTTGTCTAAGACTTGCAACATTCATACATATGTACATATGTACATGCAAACCTAGCTATTTTTAATGTCTTATAAGAAATTACATTGCTCTGAAGACAAATCGTTCGATTGCTTTCTATTAAATTGTTATTTAACTACCGCATAAAGAATGATTTAGTGGAGCAAAGTAATCAAGCTATAGAGACCGTAACGGTTATGATCTTTATAATAAAAATCATAATTTCATCGTTAAAATTGCATTTAATTTTCTTCAATATTATTTGATTGTTATTTTGTATTTTTTTTTTTGATAAAAATTAACTTTTTTTCTGATTTCATTTTGTTATATTATAACTAAAGAATTCAAAGCGTTGCCACCTCTGGTGGAATTAAAAAAAAAAAAAAAAACTAAGTGCAGAAATAGATTCCTCATACCAAAACACTCCTTAGGCATGTTTTTATAAAAAATTTAAGCACTGCTTTGCGACACTACAGCAAAATGATAAGAAACCTATTTTCGACTTTTGACAAACTCCAAACACACGTAAAAGAATCCTTCTGTGCTATATGCGCATGGTCTAACAAATCTTCAATATAAATGGACCCACCCTAATGTACTTATGTAAATTTATTTCAGTTAAAATAGAAGAAAATGTGGGGTTCCAAGTCTCAGAATGTACTTATTCGCACATACTCAAATTAACTAAGCCAACCGCCTATGTATGTATGCATCTGAAGTTAGGTGGTCCAAAACAAAAAATATTAACAATAATAAAAAAATATAGCCCCGTTTCAAAGCGCTTAAAGTTTTCCATATGTTTTATTGGGGGAAAAATAATTTTCCATAGAAATGGTATAGAATTCATGAAAAACAATATTTTTCGATAGGACAACTATGTTTCTCTTCAAGAGACTTCCAGAAAAAATACCCAATTGTTTATTTAACCATTTCCTATTATTAAATATTTTGTATAGGAGCCCTGAAGACATCAAAAAATGCAATGGATATTATTGGCAGTCTCCTGAAGAGAAACAAAGTTTTTCGAACGAAAAATATTTAGTTTCTATTCCACGACTTTACTTTTTCCCATGAATTTTTGGACGACCCTATTATACATATGTACATATGCAAGCCTGCCCAGAGTTGGTAGCATATTTACACATGTTTGTGTAGGCGTCTGTATATATGTGTTTTAGGGTGGTCGTTAAATGTAGTAAGCAATTTTTTACATTGGATTTCCTAAGCCCCAACCCCTACTTCGATGCTACTATAGTCGAAGATATCACATATAAATTTTGGTCGCGATTGGAGACGGTTAAGACGTGTCGCAAAGGGGTCAAAGACCAGAAGCCTCTATGGAAATTAAAAATAATTTTTTTTCTTACCTAATACCCAAAATCGATACTACTATCACATATAAATTGGAGTCGGTTAAGGCGTGTCGCACAGGGGTAAAACTTCAGATTACACTATTAAAACGTCTTAACCGTCTGCAATCGGGATCAAAATTTATATGTGATATCTTCGATTTTAGTTGTATCCATTGTGGATATTAAATGAAAACAATATTTTTAATTTTTGTGAGTCTCCATAGAGGCTTCTGCCCTTTGAACCCTTTGCGACACGCCTTAACCGAATCCAATCGGGACCAAAATTTATAAGAGATATCTGTGATCATGGTATTACCGATTGCCTGTTACAAAAACACGTTGCTCTGTGGTGGCTACAAAAAAGAGGGAGTAATAAAAAAAAAATGTGTGGGCTTTTAGAGCGCAATAAAGTTTTTTTACTACTCATATTAACTTCCGCACTGAAGCATTTTCATTTTACTCGTAGTATCACTTGCGTGCTATTTTGGTATTATTCAAAAAAAGCAAGAAATTTATTTCCGATTAACCTTCGTTCAGAGGTTTTGCAATTTTAATTTGTTTAGCTCAAAACTGGTTGCATTTTGGCAGGTGCGAATTTTATTGCTCGTTTGCAATGTTATGCAATGATCACGCTGGTGTGCATCATAAGAAAAATAAAGCATATGACTGAACTGAAGGTTAACCATCAGGTGATTGAGAGACATCTGAAGATTGAGAAATCGCAATTTAGTTAACATAAATTTTTTAAATTTGAGGAAATTGGCGAATAATTAAAACTGGAATTTTTTCTTCTTTTAGTGGCTTTGGATCATGACATGAAAAATACGAATATTTCATTGCGATTTTATTTTGCAACAAATATATCCGCGTTTAGAAAGGCGCAGTAAGTACTCTTCGTAAAACTAATATTGCAAATTGATATAATAAATACGATAACCAAGCAATAACGCAACATTGAGGAAGAGTATTTTATTTTAATCTTTTATGTTTAGATTTTCTTGCCTCAGAAAAATTTTTTCATTAAAAAAGTCGTAATTTTTTGATATATCAATATACATATTTATCATTAATGATTCTCTAACAGGAATTGTATCGATTTTAATATTTAATAATAACGACTATTGTATTTCGATAAATGTGTTGATACAAATTTTTTTGTGGCTATAATATCGCCATTGATATATTTAACGTTATAATCTTGTGTATATGTATGTATTAATATACTAGGTTTCATGGCCGATATATTTTTTGATATTTATCAAGCCTTTTTCGATTTATCAATATTGATATCACTAATGATTTAGTTACGGAAAAGTTATCAGTACAACAGATTTATCGATATTGTTATCGACATATTTAAGATATTTTTGGATTTGCATATTATTTGGATAAAAGAGTCGCTATTGATTTATTTATCGTTATAGTTTTAAATAGCCCAATCGTACATTAATCGGTTTGTTTATCAAAAGCGATTTTATTATCGATATATTGTTTTTTATAAGAAACTCAACGATGCTACTTTGCCCCGATTTATATTCATCTATATTTTTTTTTAACTTATCGATAGATATTTACAGCACGTGAAGATAGCTACCAATGTCAATTTATTAACACGGCAATTTTTGATGCACATAACTTATTTATCTTTATTTGTCGATTAAAATATTTACTGTTACCCCTTTATATATGAGTTTATTTCGATAGTTGTGTCGAAACAATTTTAATTGCAGCTATCGACAACGTCATCGATATATTTGTCATTATTATAGATATTTTAGCCGTATATTGATCGTATTAGTTACGAATATCGATTTTTTAATCGATATATTTATCGATATCGACCACTGAAAAGCTCATAAATAGGGACTCATAGCCACTGGTTTACTAACAGCAATTTTATCGATATACATGACTTATTTATGCATTGTTATCGATATATTTATTAAGACATTGATCATTTCGATAAATATGTCGATAAAATTTTGAATTTATCGTCATCATAGATAATATTTTTTTTTGTCGTTATATTCATCGATTTATTAACCGGTGAATCTATCAATATCGATTAAATTACTGATATATTTATCGATTTTGATGAATATTGTTATCAATCTCAGTGTTATTCGATATAAATTTTTCGCCTTAGTCATCGATAACAAGCCCAATGTTATGCAATATCATTATTCAAATCCTTTGGTTTATATGTATATTCATATCATTAGCATCCATTTCTGTAATACGCTACATCGCTACTATTTATGTCTTTCCGACGTCCTTGAAGCTACTCATTCTTATACTAATCAAAATATACTCGTATATGCATTTATGTGCATACAAAAAATGTACGCACGTGCATTAGACAACAACAGCGACATGATGTACATATGCAAATATGTATCTGTCAAATCATCATTCACTGTTCAGAAAATTTCCTATTCAATAAAAAACAACTTTAGCAGAGTTTACTAATTGACAGTGACGTTCTAAACATTTAAGCGCTTTTTCTACTACATTGGCTATTTTCTTTATTTCTTTATTTCCATTAACAGTTGCGCTATTTGTTGTAATTAACAACAAATCACATTAATGCTGCGCAATCGCCTCAGCAACGCTAGCGACAACATGCCGTTTCAGCAAATATTTATTACCAACAATTTTATTAACACACAATGACTTATTACAAAACGTACAGCAGCAGCAGCAGATCAAACCATGGTAGGCAGACAAAGCCGTTATGTGGGTTGATTCAAATACTCTACACGTCATCCGCCTGCTGAGTGTCTTATATGTACCAAGTATGTACTCTCTGCCAATCAATTATGCATGCACGCAGTTTTAAATGCGGTATATTATAACAAAAAAAAACTAAAAAAAAAAATATGTATGCGCCTGTGGTTGTTCGGGCGGGTTTGGCATTATTTGCTTTGTTTGCATTCGGCTAATAAGGAAATGCCATAAAAGGTGTTTTATACAAATGCATTGAACAATATTTAATGGTAGAAGTGAAACGAAATATACGAGTTTGTTGCTTAAGTCTTTAGTTTTTTGTTTAATTGAAACTTGTTTGTACATAGAAATATAAAGAAAACGCTCAAGCTCTTTAACCAGTTTTTATTATATCAATTGTTAATTCTTACTTTCGTTTCATACTATAAATTTCTATGTTTATTCTATAAAATATTTGTGGTTTAACAGGAACTGCAAATCAAGTTTAAAAACCAATTAAATTAATATTTTTAGCACAAATTTATTGAACAGGTAAAGCACTTAAAAAACTAGTTTATCCAAAAATTAGCCCGCGCTGCTGAAAATTTTATCTAATTCAGCTTTTAAGTATCGCCCGATCTTAATTGCTAAATGTGGCGTACAACATGTTTTGCAGATTTTTTATTGCCATTGTCATTGAGACAGCA